CACATACAAACAATTTAGAAACCCCACATAAATGCATCATTTTTATTACACTGTAAAGAAATCTTCCTGTCTAAACGTTTTTAGTTGGGTCAAATTAACTTTTCTAGTCATCTCATTTTATTATTTACAAAAATATTTACAACAGTTCTATAAGTCCATTTAAATTGCTTAAAGCAATATGTTTACTCCCTTTTTAGGGGTAATATAAATGATTGCTTTTTACCTTGTAGTACACTGCAAAAATATATATTTTGCAATCATAAATTGATGTAAATTATTTTTAAATTATTAACACACACTACAGGTCAAAGGTTTGCTGTCAGTTTTTTTCGCGTTTTTTTAATTCCTAATTAAAATATTAAATGATCTATTAACCTATTAAATTATTAATTAAGTCGGTATTTATTAAATGTAAAAATGGTAAATTGTTAAATATTTTATATATATATATATATATATATATATATAATAAGAATATAATAATATTATATTCTTATAATAATAAGAATTATTATTAGAGTGATTTCTGAAGGATCACATGACTCTGAAGACTGGAGTTATGTAGCTGAAACTTCATCTTTAAAATAACTGGAATAAATTACTAAATTAAATTATAAACTACTTTTGAACAGTTATTTTATGGTGCAAAAACATTTCACAATTGTACAATTTGCACTGTATTTAAGATGAAATAAATGCAGTCTTGGTGAGCAGAAGCTTATTTAAAAACATTTGAAAATCCTACTGACCCTAAACTTTTGACCGCGAGTGTAGTTCATTCAGATAATAATTAAATATTTAATTAATACCCCTTAAATAACTTTGCAATGAGGTTACTCCCTTTTTCATGTCAAGTCAACTAATCTCTTTAAAAGCAACACACATGTGCATGTATTTATGATATTTAAGGAGCTTAATATTGTTTTTTTTTTCAGGTATTATTATAATAAGCGCATTTTACACAAGACCAAAGGAAAACGTTTTACCTACAGGTTTAACTTCAGCAAGCTAATCTTAGTGAACTATCCAAGTCTTCCAACCTGCCCACAGGTGCATAAAAGTGTTTTCAATATTATTATTGACCTTTTTTTTCTGAATTATAATATTTTTTTGTCATTTTATTTTTCAGAATACACCATCTGCCCCCTTCTCTGTCTTTCCTTCTCAGCTTTCCTTCTACAACTCTTCTATTGACAGGGGTAAGATTGAACTTTGAGTAATGAGTTATTTGGTAACACTTTACAATAACAGTACATGAATAATGATGTATTAATATCTAAACTAAACATTACTTTATTGTGAACTAATGATGAGTAAATATATGCGCTAATAATAAATCTTTAACATGAGTTCCAAGAGTCCATGTGTGAATAACAGCTACCTTAATTACTTGCACATGATTGTTTGTTAATTAATGTACTAATTACTACATTAGTTAAGGCTTAATTTAACCATCATGAGCATATTAAATGTTCCTGTATAATTATATCATGACTTTACTTGGAGGGGCACAACATCATTAACCCATTTTTAACTACTCATGAACTCCTTATGCACATCCGTCTAGTGCATTTACACTGAATAACAATAGAAAAGTGTTCTGTAAACATCAACAGTTTAAACACAGGAATTCATGAGTAGTTAAGGATGAGTTAATGGTGATGTGCCCCTCCAAGTAAAGTCATGACATAATTGCACATTAACAGCTCATGAGTTCATGATGGTTACATTTAAACTTAATATATTAATTACCAACATGTACTAACAAGTAATTGAAGTAGCCATTATTCACACATGAACTCTTTTGTTTCTTTTGCATATTATTATACATCATTATACATTCATTTACTCTTATTGTAAAGTGTTACTAATTATTGTTGATTTGAGACTTTATGATTTATATTTTAACACTGATGTTATGTTTCTCTGTGTGTCCTATATGTGTTATAGCTAGTATGCAGTCAATTTCTCATCCCCTTCTGCTGCCCTACAGCTTCCCTAAACCCCTCCCCTTTCCCCAGGTACATCCAATCCAAAGGCAGATTCCCTTCTTTCCTGGGCCGCCTCCCTCAGGGATTAACCTATCAGAGCTCTCCTCCCTGTCTTCAGTCAGCTCCGCCCTTCAGTTCAGCTGGCCAGTTAAAAACAGCACAGATTGGCCGCTCAGTAGAGTTCTGGGATTACAAGACAGGAGTGAACTGCTAAATAAAAACCACGAGAGCAAAGAAGACAGAAAAATATTTCCAGAGACCAACATGCATTTGAAGATTTAGTCCTATTGTTGTATTTATAAATAGTTTATAAATCTTTACTGACAGGTTAAGAGCAAAGCACTTTATATATGTCACACTAATAACTTAAGAGACGACTGAAGGTGTTTGAATAATTTGAAAAGGAATATATGTGTAAAACAATTTAATTGCCCAAGACTAAAGTATCTGTCTGATAATACATAGTTAAATAAAGATGGATTTCTTTGTACCTTTTAGGCATTGTTGGTCACATGTTTGGTTTATGATATGTCTCTCTCTCACACACACGCACATTTAATTTATTAATTATTATTTATTAATTAATATTAGGCGAGGCAGTGGCGCAATAGGTAGTGCTGTCGCCTCACAGCAAGAAGGTCACAGGGTCCCTGGTTCGAACCTTGGCTCAGTTGGTGTTTCTGTGTGGACTTTGCATGTTCTCCCTGCCTTTGCGTGGGTTTCATCCGAGTGCTCCGGTTTCCCCCACAGTCCACAGTATGAGTGTGTGTGTGTGGATGTTTCCCAGAGATGGGTTGCGGCTGGAAGGGCATCCACTGCGTAAAAACTTGCTGGACAAGTTGGCGGTTCATTCCGCTGTGGCGACCCCGGATTAATAAAGGGACTAAGCCGACAAGAAAATGAATGAATGAATATTTGAGTAACTTAAAATGACTTTTCTGTTGAAAAACTCAAAGAGAGATTACTTTTCAGTTTTAGGTTATTTAATTAGTGCTACATAAAGTATACTGGCCCTAAATGAACTTACATTTAACAGTTCTGTCTAAATACATTAGGAGAAGTAGAGTAATATTTTGTAATGCTGTATATGTGTGTTTTTTGTAGAATGATACTATTTTTCAACTAAAGAAGGTCACATTTATCAAGACCTTTGCATATAGAAAAATGGAGTGCAAAAAATAGTTATATACTAAAATATAAGGTATCAGTTTAGAAAAACTGAGTGACAACATGTTTTCATTATTCATATAATTCACATAATTTTATAGAATTCTGACTTAATAACTTGGAATTCTGACTTTATAACTCGGAATTGCGACTTCATAACTCAGAATCCTGACTTTATAACTCGGAATTCTGAATAATTTTATATTATTATAAATATATTTTTTTAGATATTCTTTTTTTTTTTATCATTCAATGGCGGGAACGGGCTTCCTTACATAATAAACTAACAACTGCACATTTGAAAAAAAAAAAAAAAAAAAAGATCGAGAAATGTACAGTTGTAATACCCCTGAATTATTAGCCAGCCTGTTTATTTTTTCCCCAATTTCTGTTAAACGGAGAGAATATTTTTTTTAACACATTTCTAAACATAATGGTTTTAATAACTCATTTCTAATAACTGATTTATTTAATCTTTGCCATGATGAAAGTGAATAATATTTTACTAGAGATTTTTCAAAATACTTCTATACAGCTTAAAGTGACATTTAAAGTTTAACTAGGTTAACTAGGCAGGTTAGGGTAATCAGGCAAGTTATTGTATAACAATAGTTTTTTCTGTAGACTATCCAAGATCAAAAAAGAAAATATAGCTTAAAGGGGCTATAATAAATTTGTCCTTAAAATGGGTTTAATTTTTTTAAACTGCTTTTATTCTAGCGGAAATAAAACAAATAAGACTTTCTCTAGAAGAAAAAAATATTTTCAGACATACTGTGAAGATTTCATTGCTCTGTTAAACATCATTTAGGAAATGATTAAAAAGAAAAGAAAATTCAAAGGGGGCTAATAATTCTGAATTCAACTGTATGCCAATATATGCTATGTATTAAATATGGTGTCATAAATCTGAAACAATACACATGTTTAGCATTTTAACAAATTTTAACATTTTAAAGTTCTCTTAAAAAACTAAATAAAGGGTCCTGTTCAACTTAAATAAAAAAAATCAGAGTTTAATTTCTATTATCTATGCATTGAGATTTACAATTTAGGGAACTTTAAGCAGCATTTCAATTATTTATTAAAATACTTTACAGACAAAGGTATTAGAAAAGTAATAATGTGAATTCTTACCCAAACACTGCAGCAATACCACAATTTAGTCTTTTTTTTAAGTTAGTAAACCTGTTGCCTTAAAATTATTAAATAAATGAACTATGTGCATAATTATAAAAATGTAGTTGTCAAACTAGTGGCGTCATGGTGGCACAGTGGGTCACCTCACAGCAAGAAGGTTTCTGGTTCGAGCCCAGGCTGGGTGATTTCTGTGCGGAGTTGGCATGTTCTTCCCATTTTCGTGTGGGTTTCCTTCACAGTCCAAAGACATGTGCTGTAGGTGAATTGAATAAGCTAAATTGGCCACAGTGTATGTGTGTGAAAGAGTGTGTATGGGTGTTTCCCAGTGTTGGGTTGCGGCTGGAAGGGCATCTGCTGCGTAAAACAGATGCTAGATAAGTTCCGACCCCGGATTAATAGAAAATAAATGAATGAATGAATTAATGAATGAAGTTATCAGCCTAACAGTTCCAAGTTGCAACAGGTTTACCATGTAAAATAACTAAGCTTTTGATGGTGCAGACCTCAAAGTTATTACAAGTTGATAATGTGAAATGCTGTCTAGTTTTTAAATAAGGCTTATTGTAAAATGATCTCTAAATGAATCATTCAGACAAGCCTGAAACTATAGCAACACAAACATTCAATGCACATCAGTATCTATTCAAAAGGACGTATGAAACATAATACCATGCGGCCAAAATAACGATACATGACAGATGACATCTTAAATAGTTAGTTTATTTAATTCATTCACAGTTGTAGTCTTTAACATTTGCACAATAGTTTATTGTGTGTTGCTGTGAGAGTTTCATCTCATGTAACAACTTTCTGCCTAAATGTCGTTGGAAAGATAAGACTTCTGAACACATTTTACCACTGTTTGTTTTCCGTTACTCAGGTAAAGTAATAAAACATATTCACTGTCACACTGCAGCCTGTGGTATTATTTACATTTTCATGTTTAAACCATAATATTGTAGTCAAAACATAAAGCGACAATGACAAACTGCATAAAGCTTCAAATTTCTAGTTTCCATATCTGATGACTGATCGATTTGATAGATATTGCAGCTTTTAATAAATTATGAGTTGGAAAAAAGGTGACATGGTGGCTCAGTGGTTAGCACTGTTGCCTCACAGCAAGAAGGTTACTGGTTTAAGTCCTGAGAGGGTCAGTAGGCATTTCTGCGTGGAGTTTGCATGTTCTCCTCGTGTTGAATAAACTAAATTGCCCCTAGTGTATGTGTGTGAAGGAGTGTGTATGGATGTTTGCCATGCATGTGTAGGATTGTTTCGTTCTGCTGTGGTGACCCCTGATGAATAAAGGGACTAAGCTGAAGAAAAATTGATGAATGAATGAGATGGAAAAAAAACACAAATAACAATAACAAAAGTGTCGCACGGTACATTGGGTAGTATGTTTACAGACTCTTGTGAAGTTCATCAAAAAAAAAAATTAAGTTTAAGACTTCATGTTCAGACATTACAGCTTACAAGCACAATTATTACACAAATACACAATTCCAACACCTATAAAACATGTAAATCATCATTCCTACTCATACTGAAAAGAAAATGTGCAATATACGCTTTAATTGCAACTCCGGAAAATAACACAGTCCATTATGCAGGAATATTCATTCATTCATTCATTTTCTTTTAGGCTTAGTCCCTTTATTAATCCAGGGTCGCCACAGCGGAATGAATCACCAACTTATCTAGCAGGTTTTTACGCAGCGGATGCTCTTCCAGCCGCAACCCATCTCTGTGAAACATACAGGAATA